CCTGGTGAAGCAGCACATCTGTGAGAGAGTGAGAAGTGCAATGGACGATGAAGGGAAATCGTTACTCGAGACGCGAGGAGCCAAATGAGGCCACGCGATTCCTGATCTGATAATTCAACTGCCTGTGGTCTGACAAACTGCAACTACAATTGGCACACCTGACGGATTGAAAGAGGCGGAAAATAAATTGATGATTAAGGTGAAGGTGGAAAAAAAGTGAAGATGGTGAAGGAATGATTGGTGAATAGTTTGATGAAGCTGCAGCTTGAAAATTGTATCCTTACATTTGCTTTAGTCTTAGTGGAGAGTAAAATGGGCTGGAATTTTTAGAAGGATAGTAGCGAGTGAGAATGGCTATTGTGTTTAAAGGAATGATACCAAAATGTGAAACGTGAACTATATGCTATTTTTTGTTGTTTCAGAAATACCAGTGTTGTCATTCCTATTAACAGTGAACTCGGAAAGTCAAGCTAGAATTGGTTCTTTGTTGGCTTTGGAATTGATGGGTAGGTAGATGGAGCAGATCAGTCTAAGTAAAAAGGCAAGAAATTAAAGTGGAGCACTTAATGAGCAGACATGAGATCTTATCGCATCACATCCATCACATTTACTCAGCCTCGGATTGAAATACTTATTTAATGCATCCGAATTGGTCATCTACGAGGGTTAATCTTGCCAATGGGTGGACGGTAATCCAGTAGGTGGTTATATCCACATGACTGACACGAAGTGGTGAAGATCATGTGAGGTCTGTGACATCATCCCTAAAGGGGCGAATTGAGTAACCACATCGAGGCTTGCATGTGTTGGTCAATTGTGAATGTGTAATTAGGCCTTATTGACGGAGTTCAAACAATCTCATCATTCATTATGCCCAAATCGGAGGTAAGGAAGCAATCTGCTGCTTTTGAGGCTGCTGAACTGGCTTTGAAGCAGCCTCATTGGGTTTAATGGCTCTTTTGCCTTATATTATCCCATTTGACATCCCTCTCGTGCTTATCGAGGAATGTATGAAACGTTGCACTTATTGTGCATGACCGGGTTTCAAAAACAACCCGTGAGTATTTTGTAGCACTGGAAAGAAGGGGAGCCAGAACTTGAATAATTATTACCCTGTCTTTTAATTAATGGTATCAGTGTTGCAATGTAGGAGTGTGCCAGAGGCGCAAAAGCTAAAATGTGTATCAACGCAATCAGTGTTTTTACAGTTTTGCAAATGACGATGTGACATATTTG